TAACGATGATACACGTTCATGTTAGAACACCGAGAGTTCTCTAAGAGTGAAGTGTAGTTGTTGTGTTTCGAAGTTAGGATTCTCGGAGTTGCAGTGAACATCGAGAAATACATGCTGTTGCATCTTGTGTACGTACGCGAATCTTCTTATGGTAAAACTGTATGGGAGTTCTAAGATACGCAGTGAAATGTGCATACTGAATTGAGAGAACTGGTACCTTGTGCTAATATTTTTCGAATAAATTGCTCTGTGGCTGTAATGCGTTAACGCTCTACATTCTCTATTTATCTTGCAAAATATTGATGATACCAAGTATTGTTTCAGATAAAAGTTACATGATTTGAGGGGTTAAATTATACGGTGAAGGAATTTTTTCTTTATGTAGACCTGAAGGGAGGATATGAAGGTCCACATTCTTTAACATTCGATACAGATTGTCGTTGTTTAAAACTGAGTGCAAAAGTAAGTTTGTCAAAATGTTTTCTTATGTCACAAATATTTTCATATATATTTGAGTTAATCTCCAATAAATGTTCTGTACATTCTATACATTGATACCGATATTATTCCGATTAAATTGTCCGTGTTATTCGTATCATACTTGGACATATCACAAGTAAAACGCCTAGTACAAAGAAGCAGACAGTAAAGGGGAAACCTCAGAGAACGAACAAAGGAGAAACATGAAACGCCAGGAGACAGTGGATCGCAGCTTTTTAAACGACTAAAGATACTCGGCTCTCAGGGTTGAAAGACTTTTTCGCTGAATGCAAACACGCCAGCGAGAAACAAGTCGCAGGAATTTCTACACACGAAACACGAGTCAGTTAACAAAGGGTCGCTTACAAACTGGTCATAAATGCACGAATCTGCCACCCATTACCGGACAAATGTTCATTGGTGAAGAAGTAAGTTACCGGATTCTGACTGTCGTGTTTTCTTTGAGGTTGAAAATATTTCGCAATTCTATAGTTGCGACGAGACACTACGTCACAAATATAAATCCCTGGATACAGATTATAACGATAAAGTCTGAGTGTGACAGTAAAAGTGGATCCTTGCGGAAAATTGCATTGTAAATGGGAACAGAAGCTTCGTTTTTTGTCCGATTCAAACGTTTCTCTGCTTCACGCTTTTTAACCCGGAAATTGTTTAGGGAATTTTCGTTTAACCGCAGTTATCGATGCGTAAAATGTTTTAAATTTCGCTTTAATTCTTGGTCGCATTGCTCGTGAACATTATTTGATACGACACGTGGACTACCACATGTTGAAAATTTCATTGGTCAATATTTTTAGTGTGTTAGAGAATTTGATATTATTTCATCGAAGATGACAAGGATTTCCAAATTTTTTAAAGCCTCAAAATTCTCCAAATACTTAAAATTCTTCAAACTCTAAATTTTCCAAATTCCACAACTTTTATCAATTTTCCAAATTTCTCAAATTTCTCAACTCTTCCAAATCTCCCAAATTTCCCAAATTTCCCCAATTTCCCAAATCCCCAAATCTCCTAAATCTCCCAAATTTTCTAAGTCTCCCAAATTTCTCAAATTTCCCAAATTTCCCAAATTTCCCAAATTTCCCAAATTTCCCAAATTTCCCAAATCCCTAAATTTCGCAAGTCCCCAAATTTCCCAAATCCCCAAATCTCCTAAATCTCCCAAATTTCTCAAATTTCCTAAATTTCCCAAATTCCCAAATTTCCCAAATCCCCAAATTTCCCAAATCCCCAAATTTCCCAAATCCCCAAATTTGCCAAATCCTCAAATTTGCCAAATCCCCAAATCTCCTAAATCTCCCAAATTTCTCAAATTTCCTAAATTTCCCAAATTCCCAAATTTCCCAAATCCCCAAATTTCCCAAATCCCCAAATCTCCTAAATCTCCCAAATATCTCAAATTTCCTAAATTTCCCAAATTCCCAAATTTCCCAAATCCCCAAATTTCCCAAATCCCCAAATTTCCCAAATTTCCCAAATCCCCAAATCTCCTAAATCTCCCAAATCCTCAAATCCCCTAAATCTCCCAAATTTCCCAAATTTCCCAAATTTCCCAAATTTCCCAAATCCCCAAATTTCCCAAATTCCCAAATTTCTCAAATCCCCAAATTTCCCAAATCCCCAAATCTCCTATATCTCCCAAATTTCCCAAATCTTTTGATCCCAAATTCCCAAATTCCAAAATTCGAAAAATTCCAAATCTCGATCACCCAGTAACGCGAACAAATACGCTAATTCATTGTCTCCAACGTCTCGTACCGAAATCACCTAAAACTCGATATCTAATCGTTACATCCGGCCTTACATCGTATTCAATCGCTTTTTCCACGAGTAAACAGAAGAAACACAGTTGCCTTCAATAACTGGTTATCTCTATTCCCCGTCCATTCAGCGTTATCGATATAGAGTCCCGATTGGTTAGTCGATTTTGTAACGGTGTAACAAAACATTACTCACTTCGGTTGCTTGTACGACTTCGCGTCCACGTTGTCCGCCAAAGCTATCTTCTCTGAGCAAGTTGCACAACATTGTTGCAGTTTTTCCTTCTGTACTGCCGGCTTTTCCGGCCGCGGTTTCGCTACCGTGGTCGTCCTCTTTTGCAAACACTGTTTTCTTGTTTCAACAACCTTCTCTTTCTGCAAGGATAAGTTCTTCACCGTAGGCAGAATTTTCTTCTTCACAGGGCTTTTTGCGCACGGTGCGGGCAACGTTTTCTTCGCTGCCTGCTTCCCAGTTTGTTCAGGTTGCTTCAGCTTCTTCATCGCGTCGTTCTTACTCACTGCAAGCTTGGTCACGATTTTGTTCACCACGGGCTTATTATTCACAATTTTATTCACTGTGAGCTTACAATTCCCAGTTTTATTCTCCACAGTTTTAGTGTTCTCTGCTTTGGTCGTCGCGGATTGATTTTCTTCTTTCTCGTCGCACGAGGACTGTTTCTCTGCTTTCGCCGTTTTCTTCATCTTCGTTCGCGCTTTTAAACGTATGGAAACGAGTGTTAACGTATATCTACGTACATGCAGAGATAACAGTACGTTTTATACGATGTTATCTTATCGAAATTTGATAGAGGGTGCAAGTGTCGATAATGTGTCGATGTCTTTGTTGATAGGTACTCGCAATATGTGAGAGTGTTTGTGCAGACACGAAACAAAGCAAAATGACTCAGTAATCGATACTTTAGTATAAATCTTCTTTAACGTGAATAAGTTCGAGCTTAGATACTTGACTATCACATTCTTGTACGATGACACTGATTTCACGTATGAAATTGTAAACTCTCATGTTATATCTACTGACGACTGCGACAAGTAATTCAAAGCCTATATTACAAATTTCTATTTCGAGCTACTTGAGACATCTGGGATTTTTAAGTTTCTAATCTTACAGATTATTAAGCGTACAAGTTTCTGAATTTGCACTTTCTGAAATATTTAAACGTTTCAATTTTGGGACTTTTACATTTGCAAATATTTAAATATCTGAAATGTTAAGGTTGTTAATTTCCATCTCATATTTTTAAACTGTTGGTTTCTAAATTTTTAAGTTCTTCAAATTACAAATTACCAAGTACGATGTTTGAAATTAAACAATTTTCAAACTGTTTAATCCGTCATGAAATTTCAGGGATCTCTAATTAAAAAATTTCAGAATATCCAAATCTCACATATTTAAATTTCTAAATCTTGGCCACTAAGGTTAAAAAAATTTGAAATTCCTGTTTCAATTTTCTTATTCATACAATTTAATTTTTAATTTTTTAAATTCTAGATTTTATAAAATTTAATTCCTTAATTTTCCTAGAAGAATTTCCAATTTTTAAAATGACGATCAATATAAATGTCGACGATAACTGTATAGCTGTAAACAGCCTCAACGTTCAATGTATATCAGTGTTGATCTCTATCAGTACAAATTAATTACCAATATCAATTCCAAGAGTGATTTTGAAGTGCATTACTCTCGGTACACCATGAAGCTATAAATTAGCGATCATGGAATTATATTCGGCTTCCTAATGATACTGTTATGGATTATCGATTCGCTTATCAGGTATCTAACGTAGGATTCAATGTACAAGGCTAGTGATGATAAATACAGTGAATCACACGTCTAATCACGTAAGGTAGACATTGATTCTCATAGTATAATTGGATTTTATTGATCGATAACACAGTGAATGTTTACCGAAATACAGTAGCTGAATTAAATAGTCGCCATTCGAGTTGCAAAACAATGTAGACATGGTTGCAATTTATTCATAGAATTTTGCAAGAAAGCACGTGAATCATGGAATGTGAAAAACAAAAATGATTCATTACACATTGTTATTTTCTACATTCTTTCACCATTCTTTATGACAGAATTTCATTTAGTGTGGAAAGCAAATGATAATATTCTTAATACTCAAGAAAATACTCTTTATTTTTGCAGTTTATGCATATGTAATATAAAAGTATTAACGAAATTACTGTGAAATGTATACAAGTAATGAGTTACTTCTGACCTAACCTGTATTGTGAACATTTTAGATCAGCGATATACGTAAACAATATTAATTCAGAAATAATGTAGAGTCTGTCCTTATAAAATTTTATATGGACAGTTATCAAGAATGTTAACATAACAATCGTACTCATAGAATATTATTGATTTTTCAGTTTCGAAATGTGAACATACACAACTTGAGTATTTTACTATCATTAAATATTTCTTCAAATTTTGTAACATCGTAGCATTTATCCCGCACCATAATTTGAACCATTCAAAAAATGCATTTCGAGAATTCAGAAATTCGTTCAACGATAAAATAAATGAGAAAACTTGTCACCAGACAATTGCGTTTCGAAGAAACGGATGACAATTTCGTTTGAAGTGTTCCGTCGTTTCTAGCAAATCGCGCGTTTCTTCGGTATAACGACAGAAGAGAAACGGTTGCAAAACATTTCCCCGGCATTTAATCGACTATGATAAGCGGATACCGTGGTCACTATATGATAATGAGTCAAGGTACAGTTTATGCGGTTTCTTGCTGCCTTCACAGCCCCGGAAACGTGAGCATTCCCCAACAACTGGATTGAAATGACGTCGCGTTATTATTCGGATCACTCGGTGCTCGAGTGGTGCGCACGGTTTTTGAATAATAAGAAGACAGTCGGAAGTCAGCAGTATTTTAGGCAGGTCAGCCTCCAACGGATAATGCCGGCAAGATTTATGTACACCAGGCTTCCGGTCTCTCCATTTCGTCCCATTCCACCGCAATATTCCATTCCCTGGACGCGACAACCGAAGTAAGACCGATTATCATAATACACAATGCTTCCGCGACAACGTACCGAGTAATTTATGAAAATTCCCCCGAGCGAAAGATTGCGTCGCTTTCGAAATATTTGCTCGTCACCGATAAGAGCCCCGAACTCGATTTATCACGTGGGGAGAAACTACGCGGATAATGTCCATAGGAAACCATACGTGGCTGACGTTCACGAATGCCTCCCAGGCTTTGGGATTTTAGGATCGTACTGCCACTTTGGGACCTCTTCGGGATATTCCAGTCAAGCTTTGGGATTTTGAAAATTTTTTAATTTTCAATTATTCAGACTTTCGAAATTTTAAATATTGAAACCTCTGAATTTTTCGACATATTTTGGATACTTCGCAATTTTGTGTTATCATTTAAAATTGATTTCTTGAAATGACAACTCAAAATGATCGACTTTGTGATCTGATGATTGACTCTAAAATATTGGTATTTCAGAATAATTTTACAAATATCCTTCGTTTGTAACCTCTTAACTTATGATTTTTTTGGACAGTCACATCAGTCAGAAATAATTAATCGCTGATGTAATATTAAAATAAATAAAACTTGAAATGTTAGATACTTTGAGTTCAGCAATCTTTAATCGTTCAAATTATAACTGAACTCGAAACAGTTGCAAGGCAAGATTGAACCGTTGCGCCGCGAGGTTTTTACCAAAATTGAGAAGTGTCCATAAAAGAAAAAGAATGTGCGATGAAAATGTTTAAACGCGTGATTAAAAATCAGTGAAATGAATGTCTCCTCTCGTTAGAAAGATTGCGAGTGTATTTGCGGGGAATTGCTGATGTGGCAAAGTGATTAAACTGGTTCGTTCTCTTTCGTTCGTTTCCAGACTTACAACATGGACGCCCAAGTTGGAGAGTCTTCGGCATGTGCCACGGCGTTACTCTGCGGAGTTAAAGCCAATTACGAGACTGTTGGCCTGGACTCGTCTGCACGTTTCGAGAACTGTAGTTCCTCTTTTGATGCCCGTGTACCGTCCCTTATCAATTGGGCGCAGGAGCAGGGTAAGTAAATACGCGACGTTCGCGAGCGTCAACAATTAATGCGACAGGATTATCCGTAATCGATTTAACTCTGCCACGATAAATAGAAACTTAAATTAACGCCACTCAAATGTTAATTAATTCCTCTCATTACATCTCCATATCCTTTCGTGTAATTTTTCCCGGATTTTTAAACGTTTCTATAAATAGCCGATACTGGCACGCGTTGATTGCCAGCGTGGCTCATATCGAACACTTTATCACGAAACAGTTAAGTCATGCGAAATAGTACTTACGGCATATCGGTGTTTAACAATTATTGCTTGAAGTTTGAATATTCTAAATATAAAATAGCTTTCCAATTGGAACAATGACGTTTTAAAACGTGCGAGGATTAATAAAAGCATTCGTCAATTTAAAATTGGAGTACGATAAAAAAGGTTATCGAAACGCTTTATCAATATTCTAAATATGAAACGATTGACAGTCAATTAGAACAACAAAGCACTGATTTTGAAACGTGTCTCGATGACAAAATCATCACGAAATAGCGCAATGTCCATTTAAAGCTCGAATAAAAACAATTATCTGAACGTTTAACCGATATTGCAACTGTAAAACGATTGCAAATTTCAATATTTTTTTTTCCCAAAAATTAAAGTGTTTAAACCGTTTGTTCATTAAAATAAAATTTACAGTGTAAATAAACTTAATCGCTATATTCTTTCGCTACAATGGTATCAGTATGAAAAAGTTTCATATTTGTATAAAACGTTAAACGCATTCAAATACTTTATCCGCAAATCGTTTTATTATACGCCGTTTTTAGTGCATTCAATTTAGCACACGTATGATTTGACACATATTTAACAGATTAATAGGAGTTTTTAAGTTGAACGTTTCAGAGTTAAACGCTGCGATTTATCAAATAGGGAGGAATTATTACTTCCGATCGTACACAAACGTTAAAATATTTTATTTGAGTAGGTATAATAAAATGCTCAGTTTAAAATGCTTAAAGGTATAATTATGCCTTAGATTAAGGTATAACTAAATGCTTAGATGTAAAGTTACGTTACAAGTGTGTAACGTTAAAATACAAAAGCATGAAAAGGATCATAATCTGAGGTCCTCGAGAACGTGCAGCGAATTAGAAAAGATACGTCGTGAGGTGCACCCTGTTCGTAATTAGAGTTGTACGTTTACATCAACGGAGGATAGACCTTCCATTACATCGATAAAGCAATAGTCGTAAAGTTAAACGGACGCTTTCAACGCATAATGTTATTGCGAAGCAACAACTGTCTGGTTGGGTTACACAACACGTGACACAGCAGGATAATAACGTGAACCGAGGTGATTGGCGATTCTCTGCTAAATCACGAAACGTTTTATCCCATGCTAATTTCAATGCCTGTTCGAATGACCATAGAGCGAAAATAGAGCGCTCAGAGAATATAAGATGGCTACCGCGCACATAACCTAAGTTTACGCGCTACAAATTAAAGTAATTAATTTTAAACTGAGATTATAAATTTCGTCGAAGAAACAGAGCGCTTCTGTTTTCTAAATTGGGGTAGTCTTTCGTTGCTATCGTCCTTTTTTAATGGCACTCGAAGATGAAGTGTGTGCGATGCAAATTGCTTTTCTACGCCGGGAAATTTCAAGGGGATACATATTTTCTCCGATAATTTTGTAGAAAATTGCTTGTTCCTTACAACGCTGTGCATATTTGCAGTTCTAAGGGCTCGTTTAATAAGGATATTTTGCGAGTACCTTGAAAATTTCAATAGAAAGTGATCATGTAAAAAGGATCGGTATGAATTTAATTTCACCGGAGGGGATGTTATTTTAACCTGACACGAAATTGTTATTCGTGAAAAATGTCGGATGAAAATAAGCTGTAGCAAAATTATCTCGGTTTTCGCAGTCTGTTTTCTTCGTAAACCGTTTTATTGGTAATTTTTTAAGTTTCAGTGAAATTTCGAGAGAAGATTAATTTTGGAGGTTGGGCTGTGAAATTATTCGGTTGAAACTATAATTGTCATTTAGTAAAAATAGTTGAAGAAAGGTAACACAAATAGCTTCGTCTAAACTCTTTCCTTTAAACACCATATCAACGACGCTAAACAAAATATCAACGATAGAAAATAAAAATAACTGATATCAATTTTAAACAATCTCTTAATAAATATAACTGTAAAATGCAATTGTACAGTTAATCAAGTCTCTGCACCACTAAAATCTCTACATCGTTCAACGCGTCGCTTCTACCTTTAATTACAAAGATACAATCTTTTGTCTATTGCCCGAATTTGTAATCACCGATAAAGTACAGAGCACGTTCGACGAAATAACCGAAACGGATTTACAAAATCAACAATGAAAACCAAACAAAACGAAAATGAAAACATTTTTATGTCACGAAATTTTCAGGCAGAAAATACCGGCTGATTTTCCTGCGGGTATATTTCCGTACGATCTGGTGAGTCTCTTTTTTAAATTGCTACAATCGAGATTATTCTAATTTTCGTGAGAATTTGTGGTAGCGTGAAAATTGGAGCTTTTTCCATGAGAATTCTAATGCCCAGGAAAATTCTTCCAATTTGCAGAGATCGTTGCCGATGTTTCCAATTTCGATATCATCGAGTATCAGCGAAACCCATCACTCCTACATACCAGTTTCATTAACACTATATCGAGCAATTGCTACGAATATTAAAGGTTGAAAATGTGAAGCCATATTGCTCGGAATCGGTGTTTTCAGATTGAAAAATTCACGTTACTATTTCTAAAAGCTAGTTATTTAGAAAGATATTTAATACACTCAATGAGCAATTCTTTAAATAAAGAATACAGTATAGAAATAAATAAATGAGAGATGAAACGTAACCTAACCTATAAGAGTTGCTTATTAGGCTATTGAGGTTATGCGCGGTTACCGACAACTGATAATTATCGTTTCAATATACATTATGATAAAAGGATCTTAATATTTTTTCTTCAAATTGTAACACATTCCATAAATCCACCGTTACACTCCTTAATTTCTGTTACCTAACAACTCCTTCGTTTACAAAATACATCAAAAAAGGGATTCTCAATAAAATGTATTGTAACAGCGTGGAATATGTAACAAATACATTTTTCATTTATTATAAATAGTAATTAAATGCAAATATACAATTCAACCAATCTATTTATCTGAATCATTCATAAGATCCAAGAGAAAAGTGATGTCGAGCTACACTGGACATAGGAGTGCAAAGGGTTAATGCAACAGACATATTACAACATAAAAGTATGCTGTCTAAAGACGACAATTCACCTTATTTTTATTAAACACAATTTTCGAGGTTTCGTATCTTTAATGAACATCAGTTAAATTATTCAACGAGTTAAACATTTTTGTTGAATTACCAGTCCACTAAAAATATTGTAACATATGTGACTAATATATGTATGGTATAATATATGAATAATGTAGTATAGTATAATATAATATAATATATGATTTAAATTGGCGAGAAGTACAAAATATTTGTTCGAGTATCACGCAAAGAAGACATGAAAGTCGCGTATCACTCGCATAGCATTTCTCATAAAACGAACACGCAAACGAGCCACTCAAAGCAGCTTCTTCGCTGCTACATCAGCCACCGTGAAAGTAGTGCCTAGAGCAACGTAATAACTACACGCTATATAACAACATTGTATAGTCATGTACATCGAGACTAGTAATAAACACAGTAGCACATAGCCGAATACGCGTGTATGTGCCTACGTTACTTGCATGAAAGCGCAAGCTGCCTTAACCTGATCATTAAGATGAATTGCCTGCTTGATTAATCGCACGCCGTTTGCCGTTGACGCGTTTCGCATCGCGAGCTACCGCGATCTCGCTTTCTATCTCCATTTAACAGCGCAATTTGTCAATTTACAATTATTGGCCACGTGTGCAATCGCGTGTCACGTGTACGTGTAATTAAAAGAAAATTCAAGCTTTTGGACCGAGATTTGCTTATTGCGGAATCGATATGGTGCTGAATGGTGGAATTGGTGGAATTAACGCAAATGGCGTTTGAAAATTTTAATACTTAAAATTTAAGTGTTGGAAATTATTGTATGTTTAAATTTTTAGTTTAGAAAGGTGGTTTGTAGAACTTGGAGGTTTGAATATTCGAAAATTCGGAACTTTGAAGTTTTTATGTTAGGTTTTCGGGAATTTTTGAATTCCTAGGTTTTTAGGTTCATTTGTACATTTCCAGATATCTAGGCTTATAGATTTTCAGATTTATAAATTTCCAAAATAGATTCATAAATATTCCTAAATGTTCGCATTATTGAGCTTTTCTATTTTCTTTTCCTCATCAGTCGGATCATCATTGTCCCACACAACCTACCTAACGTAACAATTTTAACAAATTCGTTTAAATGTTGACTAGTGAACTTTTATCATTCGAAAAATGTTGACACCGTGCCGATATTTAATTAATTTAAATTTAAATATCATATTGTTGGCCCTAGGAAAATTGGAAAACTTTGATCGCAGAATTTTATCGATGTCGAAGAGCGACCCGGCAAATAATTAGTACGAAATTAATTGAATCAATTATGCATTCATTAAATTGAATATCGATTCTGGTCGGATTTTCGTTCATGACGCGGACAGATAACGAGCGAATTTTCAAGCAGAAGTTTGCCAACGTTCGAACGGATTTAACGTTCTTACGACGATGTGAAATTTGCAAATTCATCCGTCGAGTTTCCGGTGACAGCGGGGAGAACAGTCGTCGAATGAACTTTATCCAATGACAACTAACTCCTACGGTTTCGTCTGATCAATAATTCATTCGCATCATCGCAGTCACGTCGATCAGCACGAACCCACGAGAGCATTTGAATTTCGCTAAAAATCACTGCGAATTTCATCCGCGAGATTCCAGCTCGCAAACTTAAACGTGTTCGATGTTTCTTTTCTAATTTCTCAACCGTCCGCAGTCTCGGGTTTCATGAAAGAT